GCAGTATCACAGCCCTCACACAAATCAAATAAGATTTGTGCGGCACATATGTATTCGGTGCCTTTTTGTACCAATATTTATACGTTCAAATAAATAAAATAATTTTTTACAGCAACCAGTAATATGAAAAGATTGCAAGCATACAAAGACATTCTATTATCTAAACCAATGAAACGGAAGAAAAACTTACTGTGGAACAGGTTGTGATTTGATAATTTAGAGGAATATCGATTGAACTTAGTTCGGATTCGGATACAGTACGGAAATCCACTTTGTGTATACATGGTAGTGCTGGACAAATGCCAATATCAAAAGTGTCGACTATAGGTTGATTGAAGTATTCCGTAACGGCAGCATTACGTAGAGCAGTTAGATCCATGCCATGAAAACTCTGGTTTGGAGAGAAGTATGTGCAATTATAAAAGCCGGTGAAAACATTAACGACTATGCATTGTAATAGTACACTTTGGAGAGAAGTAAAATTGACAATAATAATAGGATTTTGATTAGAATTGACCATTAATACTATCAATCGCTAAATGCGCTCAGTAGTATTATCAAGAGTTGTAAAATAAAAAATTAGAAAGGGTATATTAGTAATTAACGCAAACATGCAATGCCTTAATGTATATTTATTCTTAATACAAATTGCATTGAAAAGGAAATGTTCATGTAAAAATAGCTAAACATTTAGAAGGGATAGACTGAACAAACAAAGAATCTTAAAGAACAATGGATTAATTTGGATGAATGTAACTCATTTACCAAGTACACATTGATTAAGTCGGCTTTGAGCCAGATTGTATGAGGGTTAGTAATAGTAACCGTTTGACTGAATCGAAGTAGACGAAGTAGTGCTAAGACATATGACCTACTGGTCAAAATGTAAATGCTACCAGTGATCGTCCCAACTTCTACATATTTCAACATTACACAGATGAGATTGGTGAATAGAAGTGAGAAATGGAATTTCAACGAGATAATAAATGGTGACAAAAACAGTTTTTTTAATTAGACTCATTTTCAATACTTGCACACACATAATTAAAATGTAAGGCAAATTACTTACTTCACATCATAAAATAAATCTAACTTTATTACTAACGGGTGCAGTATTCATACTCTTCTAGGGTTACTACCTGTCCCAAGCCTACACAAAAGAGGAGGATTGGGCATAGTGTCAGCAACCTCATCCCGTAGGAGAACACCAATCTAATCACATTTTATGAAGAAGTTCTGAAGGTGGAAGCCTTCACTTATTTGGACAGCATTATCAATGAACAGGAAGGATCGGACGCATACGTAACGGCAAGGATTGGCAAAGTAAGGACAGCACTTCGACAATTCAAGAACATGTAGAACTAGAAACAACTATCAATCAACATCAAAGTCAGAATCTGCAACACGAACGTCAAGACAGTTCGAATGTATGTAGCTGGAACTTGGAGGGCTGCTACAGCCATCATCAAAAACGTACAGGTATCTATAAAAACTATCTGCGCAAGATATTCAATGTCCGTTGACCGGATACCATCAGCAACGACCTACTGGGAAAGAGGACAGACCAGCTCCCAGCTGAAGAAGAAATTCAGGAAAGACGCTGGAAGTGGGTAGGACATATATTGCGGAAATCAAATCGTATCACGAGGAAAAGGCTAACTTGGAATCCTCATGGGGAAAACCAAAGAACACACTGCGTCGGGATCCGGAAGAAGATATCAAAAGGATTAACAGCAACTGAAAATAATTAGAAAAAGATTGTCCAGGAAAGAATTCAGTTAAGAATGCTTGCGGGCGGCATATGCTCTTCAGCGAGGGGCAACAGGCGTTAGTGAATCATGAAGTTTGCAATGATTGTCTACTCGTTACAGTGAAATCGTAGTCAATTTGCTTATTGATACTACCTAATCCCCTTATCTGATCTGCATTTTCTTGGATTTACTTTATCACAAAACAGATCAGTTAAATAGAGACAGGATTAAAATACATTAATTCCGTGAACGAAGTAACAATGCTGACCCTCGGTACAGCGACAACCAACCGGAGATATTAAAAGTATCAAGCCTATAAAGTAGAACTACGCTCTATCTGAGGTGTGAGCAATCAAGATGTTAATTATCTGAGCCCCCCCATTCAAATAACTGTCAACCCTATGTTTCTTTACTCATCAAACCGACTTTTTGTCTCATGCTTGATAACCACTTCTGATGCCTCGAGTTTTCAAGATGCTAAATCTAGACACCTGAGAACGCCATTCAAGACACATACGGACAAACAGTATCGCTAATATTGGGCGTTGGAGAGAACCAGTAGAGAAATCCAGATTCTAAGGCCACAATATTTGATAAACACGTGCAGTTGTGTTTAACCCACCATAAACAAACTACAGTATGGAGATCTTCGAGTTTAGGTCGAAGATAAAATTATCACGTATGCAGCGAATTATAATTTGCAAGAGCAAGATAACTCGAGAGTAGCAATTAGCAGGGATTAAACGGATAATGCTTTTACAATGTTGTGGATGCAAACGAATAAAATAATTTGGGGACTACTAAACTAACCTGTTGATACCAAAAGTTAGCTTTCCCGTACTGTTCAGCGAAGAGTGCCTCATCACTAAATGGGACAATATACAAATTTGCTACAGACGGGAACATTATTCCGGGACAAGGTAATGACTTATTAGATAATTTTGTCGCACCATCATGTACCTGATCCTCTATATCAATATCTTCACAGCCCAACTCTGTTATGACTCGTATAACAATCGTTATTGTATATGAAACGTGCAATGATACAGAAAATACGTACGAGCAGTCTTGATTGCTATTCGGTCCTTCCTAACTGCCTAGCCCAGCCAGTTGAGTCCAGAACACAAATAACAGCCTCGGAAATATGAATCATTATTCACAAGCACACTGGGTTATATATACTAACCAAACAGACCCAATTATACCAAAAAATAGAAAAATAACATTTATACAGTAATTTTCCAATGTGGCTGTAGCTAGGGGGAAAGTAATCAATAATAATAGTTCCAAGGTCAAAACAAAGGTTGTGATAAGAGGAACACGGAAACGATTAGGTCACTTATTTAACAACTATCCAATAGGGAATGGGCATATTGTATTTGTCCATAAATAGACATCAGATTTAGGTTGCTCATTTAACAACTATCCAATAGGAATAGGCGTATTACATTTGTCCATAAATGGACATCAGATTTATGATTCATAATTCGCCAGGGGATACAACAAACTCATCAGTTAATACTTCATCAGAATGCTCAGAATCTGACAACTGTTTGACATATGGTGATTGATCATCTTCATCAAGTCGCTCACGCTCACGTCTGTTCTGCTTCTTTTTTATCGGTTGTCGAAGATGTGGAGCTAGGAACTTTCTTGCATGAACATACGATTCTAACATTCGCTCGTTGTATAACATATAGCCCATTGGCTCAGATATAATGACATCCACTGGTTCGGGCAAAGTGATTTCTTCTATTTTCCCACTAAAAATAAAATCGTTTTAGTAAGTTTTTGAGTGATAAATGTAACCTAACGTAAGTATTCCGAAATGTGAACTTGATTTCTAAACAGATGTCTTACGCAGAATACGTTACTCTGGGATTCGCAGGCGGACACCAAGTTAATGAATGGCAATGAGAAATAAGTGAAAAGAAGACTACATAGATTTCGTTAGAGTTTCGTAGTCGTTATCCTATGCTCTACGAGACATAACAGAAGTAAGTTTGTTAAGTAAGTGGTCAAGTAATCAAGTAAGTAAATCTCACTAGCTTAAGGCTATATTCATGAGCCCCTCATGTCGCTTATATAAACTTCAAACTACGTTTGGGTGAGGAATAACTGTCGGGTAAAAGTGTAGTAATACGTGTCCCAATCGAAGTCAGAATAAGATGATTGGGGTAACAACGTTTCTAAATTTCGTCGTAAACACAAATGTACAATTTTACCTAAACAAATATTACCACTCAGCTATTCAACCAATAATTGTTCCCACAATAATCGATCCAAATTACAATAAATAGCAAATTGATAAGAAATATAAGAAAATCACCGAACGCCCAAAAAAATAAGTTTTATTCTATCCTTTCTGGATATATCAAGTAAAAAATCCTCTCAATACGTTGCTTTATAACACAGTGTTTCAAATTCTTGGAAAGTGCTACAATTCACGACCAAAATGCACGAGCACAGTCAAATCAAGCAAAACAATCAAGACAGGACACTGTGTAATTATTCTTAGGTAGAGATCAATGGCCTTGTTTCTACTCCAGCGACTCCAGGGTTTGGGGAGACGAGTTGTGTCTTGGAAACAGTTGAACTGAACAAACAAATTCGGAGTGGACTTTCTTTCTGCGGGATATACTTTTGTTGGCGCATTAATAGGGCTCGCAAGCCTACGCAATCAGATCCTCAATTTTATTTACATTGAGAGTGACAATCATAAATGAAGACAAATGCAATCTCCAAAAAATCAACTATACCAAGAGTTAGAAGAAATACATCTGAAAATGTGAATGATATCATCACTTTTAAAGTACAACAACACAGATTAACAGTGGGAAGACGTGATATGACATCACCTGTAATAATCCATATAGACCACTGCATGCGAGTTTGTCGGGAAAATGAAGAAACTCTTGGTTAAGGAAAATCCAAAAATGTTAGTAAATTTCTAATTTAATGACATCTAGGTAAGTCGAAAACAGTTGACGTCAATCTCAGTGATTATTAACTTAATGCTTTAGATTCTTGGTGGATCTAAGGTCGATTATTATGGACACAAAGTAAGTAACAAAGCAAAATTATGTTATTCATTCCTATCTAACAAACTCCGCGATTGGAATTTTTAACCACTTATCTCGGGATAAATCTTCACTAAAATGGCTTGAAACATGAGATTTTAAATGCATAAACTCTAGCATCTGATAATTACGAGAGTCGAGTGCTTTTGTAATTGAAAGATAACTTCTTGATTCATGCCCGGGGAAATTAAGTTTGGCGCGCAGGCATGTCAGCGGAGTATCATAATGTCGAGCTTCGTATGTTTGATGAGGCCCAGTTCACTTGTCGAACGCTTGGAACTGGGTTGACAGTTGGATTGAGAAACTCCAAAGTGATTTCTGTTCGGTAAGTGCATTAAAGTGTTTACATTGCTACAAAAGTAGGGATAATGAAACTGTTAAGGAAATCCATATTTCTTCTTTGTCAAACATATATCGTTTCTCACAAAAAACAGTAGCTGTTTGTACGAAAAAATGCGTTGGGGACGCGGTTTTCACAACGTATTTGTTGGGGTTTGATTCTCCAGGGGATGTCCGTGGCTTTTTAGTAAGTTCTATATATTTTGTAAGTTAATTGCACAGAATTCTTCCGATCTACTGAAACCGCTATGTAACGAGAACAAGAAGGAGACCCGAACTTCCATTTTTGATAGGCGCACTGACTCTTGGTCTGCAGTACAGTATTTTCAATTCTACAGTTACATCAGTCAGCAACAAAATATGATGCAGGTATGTTTTCAGAAACTCTCCGAAATTGCCGATAAAATACTTTCGTTTGAGTATCGCACTACTCGCTTTTATTTACAGGTCTATTTGCCTGGATTGTAAACCTATATATGCCCAGACGTATCCAGACTTAGACGATTTAATCTCGGTTTTTGAACTTTCTTCGAATGTCTTCTCAAATGATCAGTCCTAGATAGAAGGAAAAGATAAGACATTAATGCCAAGGTCATCGTTCAGGATAAGATAAACCAATATTAGATCACCCCTTATTCTACGGTAAGATAAAAGAAATAAGTTGAGGTATCCCAGTCTGTCTTCATAAGATAGGCCAGATAGACCTTTTACCATTTTAGTACCTCGGCGTTGGACTCGTTCCAAGATACCGGCCTCATATATGAAACAAGTACTCGCTTCTTGAATCTCATATTCCAAATGTAGTCTCACGAAAGCCGGGTATAATAATCTAAACATCTTTTTCATCCAAATACTAGAAAAATCTACTAGCCCATGATACCCCATAGCATTTTGCAGCAACAGCCTTACAGTGACTGTTAGTTTTGAGATCATTGCTTAGTATGACTCCTAAGTCTTCGTAGTTTCTTACTTTAGTAACACGAGTCCACATATTGTGTAGTAATACGAATCATCATGGTTATTTAGTTGCATCACCACACTTGTTAGGATTCACTTCTAGTGACCACCCGTGCATCCATGCCACCAATGAGTTGAGATCATCCTGTAATACTTTCGTATCTGAAAAGTGGAACGGATAATTTAGCTACATTGGGTAGTTAATTTACATAAAGTAAGAGAAGAGGACCGAGGATTGTGCCTTGGGGAACTCCACTTTTTGCAGGTTCTTATGATGGGAGAGCTCCATTTACTCTTACCTTTTGTCTGCTGTCATGGAGAAAGTCAATTATCCAGTCTATAATCGTATGATGAATTCTAAAGGTTTCCAGTTATAAGACCTGAATGGGAGACCTTATCAAAGGCTTTACTTAGATCTGTGAAAATCACATCTACAGGAATATGCTGATCTTTTACCTCAGCCCAGTCATCTCTTGCAATGAGCAGATTTGTCAAACATGATAGGCCTTTCCAAACACCATGTTGTTCCCTGGATAAAAGATTATGTCCTTCCACATAGTTTATAACAGCTGTCCGAATAAGTTTTTCCATTAGTTTTACAACTACACTAGTTAAGCTAACTGGTCGATAGTTACTAAATAAATCTCTACTCTCAACCTTATAGGTCGAACTAATAATCGCGTCTTTCCAGTCTTTTGGCAGTCTGGACTGCCGCAGAGACATCAAACAGTATCGCTAAAGGTCCAGCAATTACATCTGATAGGGCTTTCATAATCCTAGGATGAATGTCATCAGGACCACTGGACTTATCAGTCTTGAGATGCTGAAGTAGTCCTAAGACAGTATCTTTCTCAATAACTACAGGGTCCATCAACAAGCCGCCACAATCACAATGAATAGTTGGTGGTTCCTCATTACTGATAGAAAATTTTTACTGAAATATCCCGATAAAGCTTCAGATTTCTTGGTATCATTTCTTGCCAGTATTAACGGATTTTCTTGTACCAAAAGTGATGGAATTCCATCACTTCTTTGAGTTCACCTTTCTATGTACGAGAATAAAGTACTTAACACATCACTTCAGACCCTAAACCTTCACACCTTTTTATGTCAACAAAAATGTTGTAGTTTATTTGGCCTTCAAAGTGTACATGGCATGAAAGTGTACTCGGATGGTGTTAAATGGTATGTTGTTTAAGGGCGTTGATAACGTAAATGATAGTTTGTCCGAAATGTACATTCATGGGCAAATTACAATTATAATCGTATCTGCGCGAATGCATTCTCTTTTAATCTCCCATATTCTGGAGATTCTTTTGTTTTCGACCCCCAACGTGCATTCTTAATATTTATTTAACTAATACCTCCCTATTTGAATTCAGTGATGTAAGCCTGTTCTCTCCTGTAACATTCCATCTTGACGTGTTCACTGTAACCTAACCTACAATGCAAGGTTTTTTTCCTCATAACTAAATTTCTGACGCCCCTTAGGGCATAAATTTAGATTATCCTCATTGACGTTAATACATATTCACCACATGCATTAATCTCGAGAAATCAGCTACACGATCGTTTACTTAATGTGCCATTTGCAATAAACGTATGTGTTAGAGTTATTATGTAACCGCTGGTTCATATATTACCACCTTAATTATTTGTGACCTTTAACTTACCAGCTTAAAGCGTTTTAAATGTCGTTAGTGATGTGTGGTTACTCTATTATTAAGTGTTTTTATGATTATCCCTTCCATGCATTTCACTTGTTGCTCGAAAAGAAAGTCAACATCTTAATACCCATCTAACAAAAGTTTTTAAACTCTTAATAGAGCCAACCAGCCATCTCGTTTCTAAGCACTAAACATTTCACGGTATGAGTTTGACACTTGCATAACCTGTGTATTGTTCATGAAGCTACAATAAATTTCTGGACATTTATCCAACTTATTTTCATTTCTTGTAATGATTCACTAGTGTACACTTAGTTTACTTCTATTTGGTTTATATTTCTTAGGACTATATTCGCACTTCAACCTACCAAAAAGCTATTCTCGCAAATGCTTCCGCTGACTTTCGCGGAAAAGTGGTACTGGATGTTGGGGCTGGCTCAGGAATTTTGAGCTTCTTCGCAATCCAAGCTGGTGCAACAAGGGTTTATGCTGTTGAAGCATCTAATATGGCTACTCACTGTAATAGTCTAGTTCAAGCAAATAAATTGGCGGGACGCATTGTTGTCATCAGGTTGGTTAGTGTTTATGATTGGTTATGATTATTTATCTAGTGTTTTATAATCTCATCCAGTCCACTATATTACACCACGAAGTCTCCGACTAGATAGTCGATTTAAGAAAAAGCACAAATTGTAGACAACTGCTCTTTTAATGATTTTAATGAATTATTGGGAAATTATGTACATTTTTAAAGTTGTTGACTTAAATAAATGCCCCATCAATCGCTTATTGCATTAGACTTGTCGACTTAAATGTGGGTGTTTACTGCTTGTGCAACATCTGGTAATCGATATCTGGTATTGACATCATGATGATTACATGTGTAATTCAATCTGAATTGCATCATTCAGGAACATTTGGATTCCAATAATCTTCAAACTTCAGAAACCACCAGTTCAGACACTACTGATTTAATTCAGTATTTATACTTGGGGTATCAGTATACCGAAAGGTTTAGTACCTTATTAATGTTCTCCGACCATGATATTAAGGTACTAAGAAAGTTCGTACCGTGCTTGTAAGTTATCAACTCTGGACTGAAGTGTAATATACAATGTCAACAATCTATTCGTCATTTATACACTTGTTATTTACTGGCCCTTATTGGCATTTACTTTGAAGCTAAATTTATGGATTTTTTTCTCACATTTAAGATAGATTAGTATTTTGTTTGTTCTGCGTAAGACATCTGTTTAGAAATCAAGTTCACATTTCGGAATACTTACGTTAGGTTACATTTATCACTCAAAAACTTACTAAAACGATTTTATTTTTAGTGGGAAAATAGAAGAAATCACTTTGCCCGAACCAGTGGATGTCATTATATCTGAGCCAATGGGCTATATGTTATACAACGAGCGAATGTTAGAATCGTATGTTCATGCAAGAAAGTTCCTAGCTCCACATCTTCGACAACCGATAAAAAAGAAGCAGAACAGACGTGAGCGTGAGCGACTTGATGAAGATGATCAATCACCATATGTCAAACAGTTGTCAGATTCTGAGCATTCTGATGAAGTATTAACTGATGAGTTGGACTGTGAAGATATTGATATAGAGGATCAGGTACATGATGGTGCGACAAAATTATCTAATAAGTCATTACCTTGTCCCGGAATAATGTTCCCGTCTGTAGCAAATTTGTATATTGTCCCATTTAGTGATGAGGCACTCTTCGCTGAACAGTACGGGAAAGCTAACTTTTGGTATCAACAGGTTAGTTTAGTAGTCCCCAAATTATTTTATTCGTTTGCATCCACAACATTGTAAAAGCATTATCCGTTTAATCCCTGCTAATTGCTACTCTCGAGTTATCTTGCTCTTGCAAATTATAATTGGCTGCATACGTGATAATTTTATCTTCGACCTAAACTCGAAGATCTCCATACTGTAGTTTGTTTATGGTGGGTTAAACACAACTGCACGTGTTTATCAAATATTGTGGCCTTAGAATCTGGATTTCTCTACTGGTTCTCTCCAACGCCCAATATTAGCGATACTGTTTGTCCGTATGTGTCTTGAATGGCGTTCTCAGGTGTCTAGATTTAGCATCTTGAAAACTCGAGGCATCAGAAGTGGTTATCAAGCATGAGACAAAAAGTCGGTTTGATGAGTAAAGAAACATAGGGTTGACAGTTATTTGAATGGGGGGGCTCAGATAATTAACATCTTGATTGCTCACACCTCAGATAGAGCGTAGTTCTACTTTATAGGCTTGATACTTTTAATATCTCCGGTTGGTTGTCGCTGTACCGAGGGTCAGCATTGTTACTTCGTTCACGGAATTAATGTATTTTAATCCTGTCTCTATTTAACTGATCTGTTTTGTGATAAAGTAAATCCAAGAAAATGCAGATCAGATAAGGGGATTAGGTAGTATCAATAAGCAAATTGACTACGATTTCACTGTAACGAGTAGACAATCATTGCAAACTTCATGATTCACTAACGCCTGTTGCCCCTCGCTGAAGAGCATATGCCGCCCGCAAGCATTCTTAACTGAATTCTTTCCTGGACAATCTTTTTCTAATTATTTTCAGTTGCTGTTAATCCTTTTGATATCTTCTTCCGGATCCCGACGCAGTGTGTTCTTTGGTTTTCCCCATGAGGATTCCAAGTTAGCCTTTTCCTCGTGATACGATTTGATTTCCGCAATATATGTCCTACCCACTTCCAGCGTCTTTCCTGAATTTCTTCTTCAGCTGGGAGCTGGTCTGTCCTCTTTCCCAGTAGGTCGTTGCTGATGGTATCCGGTCAACGGACATTGAATATCTTGCGCAGATAGTTTTTATAGATACCTGTACGTTTTTGATGATGGCTGTAGCAGCCCTCCAAGTTCCAGCTACATACATTCGAACTGTCTTGACGTTCGTGTTGCAGATTCTGACTTTGATGTTGATTGATAGTTGTTTCTAGTTCTACATGTTCTTGAATTGTCGAAGTGCTGTCCTTACTTTGCCAATCCTTGCCGTTACGTATGCGTCCGATCCTTCCTGTTCATTGATAATGCTGTCCAAATAAGTGAAGGCTTCCACCTTCAGAACTTCTTCATAAAATGTGATTAGATTGGTGTTCTCCTACGGGATGAGGTTGCTGACACTATGCCCAATCCTCCTCTTTTGTGTAGGCTTGGGACAGGTAGTAACCCTAGAAGAGTATGAATACTGCACCCGTTAGTAATAAAGTTAGATTTATTTTATGATGTGAAGTAAGTAATTTGCCTTACATTTTAATTATGTGTGTGCAAGTATTGAAAATGAGTCTAATTAAAAAAACTGTTTTTGTCACCATTTATTATCTCGTTGAAATTCCATTTCTCACTTCTATTCACCAATCTCATCTGTGTAATGTTGAAATATGTAGAAGTTGGGACGATCACTGGTAGCATTTACATTTTGACCAGTAGGTCATATGTCTTAGCACTACTTCGTCTACTTCGATTCAGTCAAACGGTTACTATTACTAACCCTCATACAATCTGGCTCAAAGCCGACTTAATCAATGTGTACTTGGTAAATGAGTTACATTCATCCAAATTAATCCATTGTTCTTTAAGATTCTTTGTTTGTTCAGTCTATCCCTTCTAAATGTTTAGCTATTTTTACATGAACATTTCCTTTTCAATGCAATTTGTATTAAGAATAAATATACATTAAGGCATTGCATGTTTGCGTTAATTACTAATATACCCTTTCTAATTTTTTATTTTACAACTCTTGATAATACTACTGAGCGCATTTAGCGATTGATAGTATTAATGGTCAATTCTAATCAAAATCCTATTATTATTGTCAATTTTACTTCTCTCCAAAGTGTACTATTACAATGCATAGTCGTTAATGTTTTCACCGGCTTTTATAATTGCACATACTTCTCTCCAAACCAGAGTTTTCATGGCATGGATCTAACTGCTCTACGTAATGCTGCCGTTACGGAATACTTCAATCAACCTATAGTCGACACTTTTGATATTGGCATTTGTCCAGCACTACCATGTATACACAAAGTGGATTTCCGTACTGTATCCGAATCCGAACTAAGTTCAATCGATATTCCTCTAAATTATCAAATCACAACCTGTTCCACAGTAAGTTTTTCTTCCGTTTCATTGGTTTAGATAATAGAATGTCTTTGTATGCTTGCAATCTTTTCATATTACTGGTTGCTGTAAAAAATTATTTTATTTATTTGAACGTATAAATATTGGTACAAAAAGGCACCGAATACATATGTGCCGCACAAATCTTATTTGATTTGTGTGAGGGCTGTGATACTGCCCAGGCGCCCAAACTGAAGCAGTGGTTTTCTTAGGGGGGCATACCCGAAGCCTTTGACCTAAAGGTCTAATCCACAAGGCAGTGGAGCATCGTGAGGAGATGCAGTCCCATGGTAGCTGGTGACCAACTATTAGTTCATACACCATTTGTTCCTTCAGGATACTGGATCCCATGTGCACCATTAGTTTAGGATCAGAGTTTTCCAACTCCGCTAGGTGGAATTTCGTGTCAACCAACCCGGACATTCACTTTTTGTTCTCTCAAACAACACCACCACGAGAAGGCAGTGAGTAGGACTTCGCTGGTAGAGGCTATATACGCGTGGCCATGTGAGAACATTTCGAGTGGAAGGGGGCGGGCCCTCCCCACTCTCGGCCGTACCAGGCCATTTGGGGGCTAATAACGGTGTTCTTTCCAATTGTCCAGAATTTCGTTATCCGATAAGAGTTGATCCAAATTTACGTTTCATTAATTGAATATTAAATATTTGAATCATTGGGAAGAAAACAATGTAGTTTATGTACAATTCCTTTCAACGAAAAGATCTTGTAAATTCATGCTGTTCCATTTATCATAGGTATTTATCATTTTCAATATACGTTTTCAAGAATTTAATCGAATATGGTAACAGTTTGACCGTTAAAAATGGTAGCGACAATAAGTCAGGGTGATCGTATAAGGGATAATACGTGTATTAATTATGTTTTAGTGAAATTATTTAAAATAAACAAGATTAATTTTCATTATTAGATTTGAAGAATTGTTTGCATAATCGATGTATCTATTTTGTGAAGCGAACAAAGAGTGTTCATTAAAACTGGTTAAGAAAGGTGTATTAAAAATCAATAATTTTAATATACCATTCACACAAATGCAAGGGGTATTGAGAGATTAGAACTCGTCATCGTTTAATATCAACCACAACATGGGAACTATACTCCATTCGATCTCATTTTAGGATGTAGATGGAAGTATGAATGATCCTAGCCGTGCTCTTATACATTACACTGTAAATGTTTATAAGTACTAACTTATTCTATAGCTGATTGTAACTTTTACACTTCTTTTTCCCATTTATTCTCTGTTTTTCGGTACAAATCTAGATCCATGGTCTTGCATTTTGGTTTGATGTTGGTTTCTTAGGTTCTCAGCGAGATGTTTGGTTGTCAACTGCACCAACTGAACCACTTACTCATTGGTATCAGGTAAGACGAAAGAAATTTTATTCTTTATATGTGTGCGTATTAAGTTTGTTAGTTTTCTATACCTCCTCACCACGGAGGTTCATCTATAAAAACAATTTTCCGACTGTTGTTCAAATCAATGCACAACAATATTAGCTTAAAGAGAAAATAGGCTAATGTAATCATTGAATTTGATTTGATGACTTGTCGGATCTGGTGTTTCATATTGTATACATATTTGTGTATATTTCATAGTCAAGTAGGTGGTTTCACCAACCTTCACATAAAAGTTATGGTTCAATGATGAGTACACAAATTTGATCTCAATAAATTAAATATTTTCCTAACCTTAGTCTGGAAATTTTATGGATCTCTGCCTTGACTTTATAAGAATCACTCAAGAAATAATAGAAATAATGTAAACATTTATACAAAACCATTCGAAATGAATTTGGCGCTAGCCACATCACAGACAGCCAAGTAAGTAAGTAAGTAACATCACAGACACTAATATTGGCTAAGAATCCACTAAAAACCAAAGGACACTGGGCGTTTGTTCCATTATTTTATACTCCTCAGCAGTGTACACGGTCTAATCCAAGATCTTTAAACTTCATAGTTGTCTTGATAGTGTTGAACTGATGTATTCATAAACTAATATTTAATAATCTTAGTTAATACGCAGTATAATGTCCAATGATTATACGTCATTAGATGGTGGGGTGAACCCCACTCCTGACAGAGTTAACCCTAACAGGTCACGATTTTGTTCGGAAGTGTTCAGTTAACATGAAAACCAATTACATTCCATATAATTTGAGTGATAACAACGTGTATGTGCTATTACTTACGGATTAGGAAAAAAAACAGTTACAAAATAGTGAGATTACACACAATATATTCAGTATGTAAAGCGGTGATATCCATAATGTAATAGAAAGTACTTTTATTTATTTATTTAAACACATAAATATTGGTACAAGGAAGCACCAGATACATATGCGCCATACAAATGTCATTCGATTTGTGTGAGGGCTGTGATACTGCCCAGGTGCCCAAACTGAAGCAGGTGGTTTTCTTAGGGGTCCACACCCGGAGCCTTTGACCGAAAGATCTGATCCACAAGGCAGTGGAGCATCGTGAGGAGATGCAGTCCCATGGTAGCCGGTGATCAACGATTGATTCGTACGCCATTTGTCCCCTCAGGATACTGGAGCCCATGTGCACCATTGGTTTGGAATCAGGGTTTTCCAACTCCCGTAGGTGGAATTTACGTGTCCAGTAACCCGGTTAAAGCGTTGGACATTCGCTTTTCGTCCTCTCAATTTCGTAAACAACAGTAATGCCTTGAGAAGGCAGTGAGTAGGACTTCTCTGTCAGAGGCTACATATTCGCGTGGCCATATGAGAGCATTTCGAGAGGGAGAGCAGACTCTCCCCACTCTCGGCCGTACCATGGCATTTGGGGGGCATAAAGTAAAATATGTCGTCAACAGTTATCACAAATTGTAATCGATAAAATAAAAAGAGTTCAATCAGAGAAGAGGTGACACTATTACGACTAAATTGTTTTCTTTATTTTTACTACGAACAACAATAATTTTAAAAAAATAGGGGAGCGAAAGGTATTATTCACTAAGTATGATATTCTTGATTTAGAGGAAGGTTTTAGGAGAAATCCATACATGTAGTGTCTATCGTGAACAAGATGTCTATAAGAAAATCTGCACAGTTCAAATTATTAGACAATAATTCCTTAAATTAATACACAGCTAGCATAGTTTTCTGTATGTTTCAGTTTCAGTTTGGAAAGGACAGAAGGCTTGATGGCCTGTGTTAGTCCTGGCAGTGATGGTCTCTCAGCTGATGATTCGATGGGAAAGTCGGTAGTCAGCTGACAAGTAATTCGTTCTGGGCTTGTGAGCTTTTTTGGAGTGTCCTCGTAGATTTACGTTTTGGAAGACAAGAAAAATAAGGGCATATCAGGTGCAAATTTGTGATTAAGCAATTTGAAAATTGTAATCAAGTCGCCTCTGATTCTTCGATATGACAGCGAGAATAGGTTTAGCTTCGTCAGTCTAGTATTGTACGGGAGCTTCGCTATTCCGAGAATCAGCTTAGTTGCTGTTCTCTGAACCCTTTCCAAGAGTTCACTGTCTTTGTTTAGGCAAGGGCTAGCTGCTTGTATGCAGTACTCAGTATGTGTATATTAGATCATATACCTACAGATCAGATGCACGTATCACCTTTTATTTTCAAGTTGAGTGTGCATAGTAGATTCTTATTTAAGTACTAAAAAGTTTTACACTTTCTTTGAATTCATTTATACGTTAGTTAACTTTTCTTGTCACAAAAGTGCTTCGATTCCACAAATACCATGACGTTAATCTATTATTATTAATATTATTATTACTCAATCAGGTGCGTTGTCTTTTGGGAACACCATTATTCGTTCAAGAAGGTCAGTCACTTAGTGGACGTGTTGTTATGCATGCTAATTCTAGACAATCCTATGATGTTCAAATCGAGCTGATAGTTCCTGGTAGTGAAACAAAGGTAGACCATGATACAGTATTTTTTTAATATTCGGTACCTTTATTTTGTTATACAAGATTTTTCTATTTAACTAATTTATGATTTTCTGAATTGTATCTTCGATGCCTAATCTTTTTTATTACCGCCGATACTGTTATTATCTCTACTATTCTGAGATTTGGTTTGAAATTTTAATATCTATCTTTATATTGGTATGTGAAAACTTGAATCGATGTACACACGTATCAGGTTCACATCGCGACCGACTGACATACAAAATTACATTTATGTTGGTCTGGCTGTATACAATGGTACTTCATGTTTTATCCCAAATATATGATTGTAAAGGGGATTTCTTTCGGTGACTGTATAAATCTACTCACACTATAAAGTTAGGTATTGGGCTTTTGACAAATAAAGCTCGACAAGAGATTGATTGTATTTAGTTTTAGTACTTCTATATATCTTTTATCTCGACCGTTGCTGCTACCTTGACGTGGTGGTCGGGCTTGCCTATCGTGATGAAGCAATCGAGCTATGCTGGCTGGAACAATCGTTCCTCGAGGTCCTACCATGCCAGACAGGTCGGTTGAAGAGCGGTAAGACTAAAAGCAGCAATCCCATGGTCCGAAGGCGAAGTCGTACTGCCGACTGTACAGAGGTGTGACAGCAGTAAGGTGTTTCCTTCAGACAACCAGCATGACAGCGATGCTGCCTTCCCACAAGGAGGGGTGGGGTTAGAAAAGGTCGACCCTAAAAATGCACACCTCGCCTTATCCCACGGATTTCCGTCTCCGGCGGTAAGGTCCTTTGAAGAACGGAGCTAACACTTCAAAAATCCCCCACAAATGGCTGTGCGTGACCGGCCTCAAGCAGTTGTCCCTTGGGCACTGCGGTCACGCTCCCAGGTCGTTCAGACCAACACTAATCCAACTTCTTTTTCAGGTCCCTCAAGAAATACCCTTCCACGGTGTGGGCAGCCGGGAAGTGATACTAGCCCTCATACCCGTAACAGCACACGAGACCAAGTTGGTCACTTTCAAATCCTTCCTACACCTCCTAACAGCTCTCTTATCTCCACGACTGACCCTTCCCACGTCCTTTTATCACCTCGCACCGCTAGGGCAAACGATTTGAGTACACGGAACGTTATTCCTGGTCTCCTGAAACCTCGCTCTAAACTACATGTAGGAACTTTTAATGTCCGAACACTGTGCCAAATAGGACAACAGGCTTCTAGAATCTTACACCATCGATGTATGCTGCTCTCCGAAACGCTCATACAAGATCCGAGTAGTGTCATTCATTTGACCTCACCTAATCAAAATAAAGAACCATCTCGATACACGCTTCGTGTATCTGGAAACCCTGATGCTGCTTCCCGTGGCCTCGCTGGAGTAGGTATAGCATTAAGTCCTAGGGCAAAACTAGCTCTTTTAGACTGGATCTCAGTAGACAGTCGTCTATGCGCTGTCCGACTAAACGGATCAGTAAGGACTCGGAAAGATAGGGAAACTCGTCGTTGCCTCTTCGTCATCTCTGCCTACTCTCCCACTGACTGCAGCTCAGACGATATAAAAGATGAGTTTTACAGGAAACTTTCTGACCTCCGAAAAGCTAGGCGTTTTGATGTAGTAATAGTAGCAGGTGACTTTAATGCTCAAGTAGGTAAACTAAGTGAAAGGGAAAGACACCTGGGTGGATCTTATGGTGTCGTGGCTAAAAGGACAGATAATGGCGACCGTCTGTTGCAGCTGTGTTCAGATAACCGCCTATTTCTTGCAAATACTAACTTTAAGCATAAGGAAAAACATCTTTTGACATGGCGACCACCGAATTCGTCCCAACGTTGGACCCAATTAGATCACATCGCTATCAGCCACCTATGGAGGGGCTCGATAGAAGACTGTCGCTCATTCTGGGGCACATGTTTAGATTCAGATCATACTCTAGTGCGAGCACGTATCTGTCTGCATCTTACTGGTCGTAGGAAAGACACTGCAGGGAAGCCTCTAAGGGTTTTACTTAATGATAAACAAGCTAAGAATATATTTCAGGAACAACTGGAAAAACAGTTAAACAGACATGTAAGTTGTGTCCACCCCGAAGCAGAGTGGAATGACATCCGAAAAGCTGTGGAAACAGCAGTGATATCCGCTAGTAAGGTAAGCCATAAGGTCAGGGAGAAACAATGGATCTCGGCAGCATCTACCACACTGATAGATGCTCGAAAACTCATCCCTCCTGGCTCTGAACATAACGAAGAGCAGAGTCAGCTTAAGCGAAGGCTAATAAGAAGCCTACGCAATGATCGTGAACAGTGGTGGGTAGCGAAAGCAAGAGAGATGGAAAAGGCAGCGGCAATAGGTAACAGCAGACAGTTGTTCAGACTTATTAAAGAAACCGGCATTAGGAACCCAACTATTAGCGAAACTATCTCAGATGAAGATGGGCATATCATTCATTCTCAATCCAGGAGATTAGATCGATGGGCAGAACACTTTAGGGATCAGTTCAACTGGCCTTCAGCCACACTTCAGTTACCTACGATCTCCAGTCGTCCTGAATGGCAAATTGATGTAAGTCCTCCAACTTTCTACGAGGTTGAAAAAGCTATAGGAAATCTAAAGCGAGGGAGAGCCGCAGACCCTGACAAGTTGACCCCTGAGATTTTTAAGGATGGTGGTCCAGTACTAGCAACGAGATTGACTAAGGTCATAGGTAGAATCTGGGAACTAGACGTAATTCCATCTTACTGGTCCCAATCACTGTGCCAGTCTATAAGAAAGGACAAAAGTCCTCCTGTGACAATCACAGAGGAATCAGTTTGACTAATTTAGTGTCTAAGATATTAGCTTCAATAATACTTGGACGCCTAACCAAAGCTCATGAAGAGCAGGCTAGAGAAAACCAGGCTGGTTTTCGTCTTGGACGTGGTTGCATAGACCAGATATTCACCATACGTCAGGTCCTAGAACATAGACATACATTCAGACGTCCCACAATAGTAGTATTTCTTGACCTCAAGGCGGCATTTGACTTCGTGGATCGTGAGGTTCTATGGCAGTGTTTGTCAGTGAAAGGAGTACCAAAGAAGTACATTAACCTCATAAAGGCTCTCTACTCGAACACAACTGGTCGAGTTAGAGCCTATGGCGAACTGTCATCAGAATTGGTTGCCTCAAGTAGTGTTCGTCAGGGCTGTCCACTCTCCCCATTCTTGTTTAACTTTGTCGTTGACATGCTTTTAGAGGTATCACTTTCATCATCTCAATCTCCTGTAGTTGAACTTTTACCGGGCGGCTCACTTATTGACTTAGAATACGCCGACGACATAGTTTTATTCGGTGAAGACTCTGACGACATGCATGGTCTTCTGACAACTATAAGCAACAATGCAAGCATGTTCGGGATGCGATTCTCTCCCTCGAAGTGCAAAATGTTACTTCATGATTGGGTTGCATCGACACACCTGCCCCCAAATGCCCTGGTACGGCCGAGAGTGGGGAGAGTCTGCTCTCCCTCTCGAAATGCTCTCATATGGCCACGCGAATATGTAGCCTCTGACAGGGAAGTCCTACTCACTGCCTTCTCAAGGCATTACTGTTGTTTACGAAATTGAGAGGACGAAAAGCGAATGTCCAACGCTTTAACCGGGTTACTGGACACGTAAATTCCACCTACGGGAGTTGGAAAACCCTGATTCCAAACCAATGGTGCACATGGGCTCCAGTATCCTGAGGGGACAAATGGCGTACGAATCAATCGTTGATCACCGGCTACCATGGGACTGCATCTCCTCACGATGCTCCACTGCCTTGTGGATCAGATCTTTCGGTCAAAGGCTCCGGGTGTGGACCCCTAAGAAAACCACCTGCTTCAGTTTGGGCACCTGGGCAGTATCACAGCCCTCACACAAATCGAATGACATTTGTATGGCGCATATGTATCTGGTGCTTCCTTGTACCAATATTTATGTGTTTGAATAAATAAATAAATAAAATGCATCGACACCTGAACTAATGATAGAGAATGAAGTAGTTGAGTGTGTTGACAGCTTCACATATCTTGGGAGTCTCATCAGCCCTTGTGGTCTAGTGTGTGACGAAATCTCAGCACGGATACAGAAGGCTCGTCTAGCTTTTGCCAACTTGCGTCATTTATGGCGTAGGCGAGATATCCGTCTAGCAACAAAAGGACGGGTTTACTGTGCAGCAGTTCGTTCCGTCCTACTTTATGGAAGTGAAACATGGCCAATAAGAGTAGAGAATATTCGTAGGCTACTAGTGTTCGATCATAGGTGTCTTCGACGCATTGCTCGTATATCCTGGGACCACCGGGTAAGTAATGCAGATGTTAGAAGACGGGTACTAGGTAAGTATGGCAAATCGATTGATGAAGTACTGAAACTTCATCAGTTGAGATGACTGGGACATGTGTTACGTATGCCCAACCTCCGACTGTCCCGACGTGCAATGCTTTATGGTGTAGGAGCAGGTTGGAAGAAAGCTAGGCACGGCCAGACCAAAACATGGCATAAATCCAAGAAGTCGCTGACAGGTGGACTGGGCCGTGCTGGTTGGGATTCGCGAGATGATAGCAATGGATGGTTAGTGACCTTGAATGACATGTCTCAAAACCGTTTGCAATGGCGAAGGTGCATCCATTCTTTGTGTTCTAGCAAATTCTAATCTGAATTCTTCATGTCTGTATCCTTTTTCTCTCTCCAAATTTATTTCACAGTATTATACTCGCTCAGTAACATCTTCAAACCCTAATCTTTCCAATTACTGCTTATACTCTTACTACTTCTACCAGTATGTGATTTGAATCGACAACTTTATCTCTGTGCTAATGTGGTATGGCAACTCGAACTGATGTACGTACGTACGAAGTTCTACGTTGTAACTGACTTACTGACTGATATATCTTTTATAATGTATTATTATCATTATTTACTGTAAGTATTATCGATGCGCTGCATTCTCAATGTATGTAAATGGCTACAAGTTACACAAAATAGTCCATAGGATACAACAATTTGCACGTTGTATACGACAAAACAAAAAGAAAGGGAAACTGCTAAGCGTAATAATAGAATGATGTGCAAACCTTCGTTTCTTTTGAACAGGTTAGTGGCTATTTTGACTCAGTGGGAAACGTGTTGGGCGTTCGAAGTGAAAAGTAATGAGTTTGAGTCCTCGCGTAAACATGGACACTAGAATACAGGTGCATCCGGTTATAAAAAATCCCAAACAGGACGAAATATCTTGTATAACACTGCTGGCCATTTACCATATACACAAAAATTAATGGTGACGAAGTCTGTTGAATGATTGCTAACAACACAGATGAATGTGTATATGCATATCTATTACCATCGATAGTGATGTATGATATTCCACAGACTGGTTCTAAATTTTTTTCACTTTGATTGTCCTACTGCTTAGTTGACATTCTTTGTTATAAATAGACGATGGTTGTGCACATTTATCATAATTTAAGTTACTTTAGTATTCACAATTCCATCAATTAGTTTCTATCTTTTAATAAACAAACCCTGTTATTTTTTGTCTATCTAATGATAACACGTAAGGAATTAATTGGTCGATGATTGTTTCACCTTCTTTGACTATAACGTAATTTATCATTGGGAACAAGTGTATTACTTCATTGAATACGTGACTATAGTTGTTTATTTGTATTCATAGAAAATGAACTTCAGTAATTACTTACTTACGCCTGTTACCCCTCGTCGAGGAGCATAGGCCGCTCACCAGCATTCTCCATCCAACTCTGTCCAGGGCAATCCTTTCCAGTTCCTTCCAGTTTTTATTCATTCTTTTCATATCTGCTTCTATTTCCCGGTATAATGTGTTCTTTGGCCTTCCTCTTTTTCGCTTCCCTTCCGTATTCCAAGTTAGGGATCGCCTTGTAATGCACATTGGTGATTTGCCACATGTATTTCCTATCCACTTCCAACGTCTTTTCCTAATTTCCTGTTCAGCTGGAAGCTGGTTTGTCCTCTCCCATAAAACGTTGCTGATAGTGTCCGGCCAAACTTCAGTAATAATCAACTGTTTTTGATAAAAATTCGTCACGTTTCCTATTTATATAAACAGTGGGACTGTAATTTACGAACAAACCAACTTGGAGGTTTTTTCTCGAAGTTCATTCATCCATATCGTTGAATAAATAGCATCTCTACATTAGAGTTGATGTCATTTCGTGATAGAAACCCTTACTCCAATTTCTAGCACTGATTCATAACCTTATCTTGGTCTTAGGATGTAAAGTTTCTCAAAACCACCTTGTTATATCTCACAAATGTCGTCCATAAATTACAATCTCACCACATAAATTTAACATCATGGTTATCATCACTGTAAATTATTATCTATCATTGTTTATCATCAATCATAGATTGTCAATAGTTTAGATTTGAAAAATCCACACTTTCGATACAATGGATATCCTCCAGCACCACCACCTGGTTCACATGTTCGTTCACCGACGGAAACATATTATGCTAACCTGTGCGCACAACAGCAACAACAACAACAAATGGAGATGCAACCACAAACTATGGTCAATAATGGTAATCCTATATCATTGGCTGCAGCGGCGGCTGCGGTTGTCGGTGGCGTTGGTATGCCTAATAACAATAGTGGACAAATAAATTATCGAAATAGTCCTGTTTATACAATGAATCAAGCGACTGGATTTCTTGCTGCCACTGGTTCAATTCCAAATGTTGTTCAAACAATCCCTTTAGCAGTTGCCAACGATAATCTATTACAAAATCAATCACATTCTATGCAATTATCTCCTCAACCAGTTAATCAATCTTCACTAGAATTCGGTCGTTTTATAACGTCAAATAATTCTCAGATTGCTTCTTCAATGCTTAGATCAGTAAACATTCCTTCAGCTACTCCCGTTATTGAACCTTTGACAAATGTTTCTGGTAGTGGAATTCCTACAAATGAGTCTGTGTACTACAACCCTGTTATTAGTTCGAATTTTGGAGACACCTGTTTCGCGATGAATAATGTGGTTAATCCTAGCAAAAACTGGAATTCAGGTATCTACTCTAAAACAATATATTTTTTAAATTCAACTTAGTATTGTCTGTAGCAAGTGGCTATCAGGACTCAGTGGCCGAGTGGATAACGCGATCGCGTTTGAAGTGAGGGTACTGGGTTCGAGTCCCAGAGTGGACATCAACACTGAGATGCAGGCACATCCAGCTGACGAGTCCCAAATAGGACGAAACGCGCGTCCTGGATTCCACTGCTAGCCATTATCCATCTCTGCTAATATATTTATTGTTGTATTTTTATGTTATTGCCTACTTATACGTTTAGTGGTAGCTAAATATAATCTGTCTTTTCAAGTCATTGTCTCCTGGTTTGTTCTGTGTAGGCAGGTACTGGATTCCTGATTCGTATTCGCAAAAATAGGATTATTAGGGATTTAAAAAAAAACATGAACTGTAAGCGGTCGAAGTAACTAGTCAATTTTTGTACATTTAGCAAGGTTGTTGGAAGTTATTGATAGTTAGCTCTTACCTGGTGTTTGAGCAGCTGTGACCTATTCATATTGTGTGTGTGTTGACCATTAATCTTCATCATTTACCGGTTAATGTACATACATATTGTAGATTTTATTTCATTCATATTTAAATAATCAGTGCAGTCAATTATTTCTCTTTGCTAACTGAACTTTGATAGTTTTATTGTTTGTTTATCCATGGACTTTGACTCTTTAATAAAGAGGCTTTAATGATAAGAAAAACTATTAAAAATAAAATACTAACCTAGAGTTCCTTTTTGATAAGGATGATGCCATCTTGTTTTGTATTTTCATATCTTACATTTTTCATTCAATATTTTCACATAGTTCGGAAGGGTTATTCTTGTCTTCAAAGCATTGCTCGTATATCCTGGGACCAGCGATTAAGTAATGCAGTTGTTAGGAAACGAGTAATTGGCAAGGATGGCAAATCGATTGATAAAATAATGAAACTTCATCAGTTGAGATGACTGGGATACGTGTTACATATGCCCAATCACTGACTGCGCCGACATGCGATGTTTTAAGGTGTAGGAGTAGGTTGGAAGAAAGCTATGGGCGGCCAGACCAAAACGTGGCACAAATCAATGAAGTCACTGACAAGTGGACTGAGCCATGTTGGTAGGTGTAGACTACCTGTTTGGGATGCGCGAGATGATAGCGATCGACCTTGAATGTCATGTCTCAAAATCGTTTGCAAAACCTAAGCTGCATCCACTCTTTGTGTTCTACCAAATTCTAATTCTCTGAATTCCTCATGCCCCTATCTTTTTTCTCTTTTCAAATTTATTTCACTGTATTATACTCCTTCAATAACATCTTCAAACCCTAATCTTTCACATAATGCTTATACTTTTACTCCTTCTACCACTATGGGATATGAATCGGTAGCTGCATCTGTGTGTTATTGTGGTATGGCAGCTCGAACTGATGTACGTACATACAGAGTTCTACGTTGTAACTGACTGATATTCTTGACCAACCTTCTTGCTCAATTTTTTCTCTTCTCTTTTTCGATAGGAATACATCAAGAGTAATTCGGACCTCTTTATTACCGTTATAGTCGGCGGTTATGATTCTATATATGTAAGGATTAATTATTATATAATCGTTCGTTGTATGTACACAGTAAAACAATATCTTTTTAATATCTATCTATATATAAACCTTTTGCATTTTCGTAAAGTATTCTAATGTTTTGATGGAAATTGTTTTTTTTTATTGTGCATCTATTTATCATATTCCAATCTTATGTGTTCTATGTAAAAGTAAAAAATAAGGACAATTATATTGTTTATGCTTCTATCTCATTCACTTTACCACATATACGCACTCAAACTGATTCACGCACAGTCAGTCATTATAGGTAACATATTCTCATTGTTCTTTATCATCATTCACACTCTATATTATCTATGAAATTCTTGGTGAAACAATTGTGAAAGGATAATGATTACAAGAAACGAGGCCGAAAAAAAACACTTTCTTATTTCACTCTTAATCTTTATGTGCGCGGTCAATCAAGATGATCACCTCTGTTTATCAACTATATTGTTGTGTTTGTGTATATTTGCACAGATCGGAATGACAGGTGAATTCAATGAATACTCAATCTTAACATGAGTGTTGCCTATAAGAATAAAAGAAGTTCTTGTTAACTATGAATTAATGGAGCTTGTTTCTTTTTTCTTCTTGTGTTATATCGCTTGGAACAATTTTTCTCTCACTACTGTAGCTGGTATTCGTTTTTTTTCGTTACTAGTCAATCTCTTTCTAATGTACCATTTTGATATATGCAAGCATTCATATCTATACATATACATACTCATTTTATTCCGGTCAATGTAAAAAAACAACACTTGAAAAAAATGTTGTATTTATTCAAATCGCCTTTGGTTGGTTCACAAAATCATAGGATGGGTATGATTTTAAGTTGTTAATGATGATTTCAGTTGTAGTTGCAGTTCTTTGGGTTGATTAATCTAGTGTTTGAGCGCTCGCGCGCGAGACTTATAGGTCCTGGATTCGAGTCTCGCGAGGCGGGATCGTGGATGCACACTGCCACTGAGGAGTCCCACAATAGGACGAAACAGCCGTCCAGTGCTTCCAGGTTTTCCATGGTGGTCTAGCTTCAATTGACTCATAAATTCAACCATATCAAATAACAAGCAAGTAGCTGGCACCCAAATGCCCTGGTGGGTGGGGAGAGTTCTCTCTCTGCCACTCCAAATGCTATCACATCGCTACGCATATATAGCCCCATCCAGAAAAGTCCTACTCGTGCCGCGGGTGTTATTTACGAAATTGAGAGGACAAAAAGCGAATGTCCGGCGCTTTAACTGGGTTGGTGGGCACGGAAAGTTCATCTGACGGAGTTGGAAAACCCTCATTCCAAACCAATGGTGCACAAGGGCTCCAGAATCCTGAGGGAACAAATGACGTATGAACCAATCGTTGGTCACCGGCTACCATGGGACTGTATCACCTTACGATCTCCACTGCCTTGTGGATCAGACCTTTAAGTCAACGGCTGCGGTTGTGGCTCCCTAAGAAAACCACCTGCTTCAGTTTGGGCACGCGAGAAGTATCACAGCGCACACGCAGTCAGTCAGCGACAACGTAGGACCAGGCACATATATGCATCAGTCCAAGTTGCCATACCTCGTTAGCACAAAAAGATGTACACCGGATTCATAGAAGTAATTAATTTAGTGGTGGTAGTATATAAAGAAAGGCTGCATATAAGGATATAGTACAGGAAGGAAGACAAATATGAAGCAATTTTAATCTCAAGGTTTAAGGGAAGATAAAGAGTGTATACACCGACGCCATTGTGATCGATTCTGTGCCATGTCACTCAGAATCTCCAACCATTGGTAACGATAGTCACGCGGACCTCAACCAGGTAGTCTGCATCTGCCAACATGGCTCAGGCTAGAAGTTAGTGACTTCAAACACTGATGCCATGATTTGGTTTGGCCGACCCTAACTCTCTTCCAACTGTCCCCAATACTAGTCAACATTGCGCGTCGTGGTAATCGATGTTCAGGCATACGTAACACGTGGTGACGTAAGTTGGCAAAAGCCAAACGAGCTTTTTGAGTCCGTGCTGAGATTTCGTCAGACACCAACCCATTAGGGCTGATCAGACTTCCAAAATAAGTGAAGTTGTTCACGCGTTCGACTACTTCACTCCCTATCCTTAGTTCAGGTGTTGACGGAGGTCAGTCCTGGAGTTACAATTTACATTTGGATGGGGAGAAATGCATCCCAAACATCCTGACATTATTACTCAGTTCTAACAGAAGACTCTGCATTTTGTCAGTGTCTTCACCAAACAGGACTATGTCATCTACGTATTCTAAGTCGATAAGTGAACCTCCTGGTAGAAGATCAATTCCTGAAAATTCAGTCGACGAGTTTTATTTCCAGCAACAGGTCTATGATGAAGTCAATTACAGACACCGCCACAGAACCTCTCGGTCTACAGAGTTAAGTGCTGTTTTTAAGTCAAGAAAAACTATCATTGTCGGACGCCGATAAGCGTGTCTGTGCTCTAAAACTTGACGAATGGTGAATATGTGGCTGATACAGCCACGACCAGGTCTGAAGCGAGCCTGATTTTCTCGTGCTTGGAGTTCATGAGTCTTAGTTAGGCGCCTGATAATTATTGAGGCTAGTATTTTAGATGCTATGTTAGTCAGACTAATCCCTCTATGGTTATCCCAGGATGATTTTGTCCCCTTCTTATATATTGGGACAATCAGAGATTGTGACCAGTCAGATGGGATTACATCCGTCTCCCAGATTTTAGCCAGAATATTAGTCAACCTAATCGCTAAAATTGGACCACCATATTTAAAGACCTCTGGAGCCAATCCTTCTGGACCAGCTGCTCTTCCTCGTTTCAGATTAGTTATAGCCTTTTGAACTTCAAGTAGGGTCGGGGGGCCTACTTCAATGTTCCATTCAGGTTTTTTGGGAATAGTGGGTAGTTGTGCAGTAGCTGAAGGCCAGCTAAACTGCTCCTTAAAGTGTTCCGCCCATCGTTCTAAACGTTTGGGTTGAGAGCAGATAGGTGTTCCGTCTTTTTCCGAGATTGTCCACCACTGCTCACGATCGTTCCTTAGACTTTTAGTTAACTTAGATCTAATTTGTTTACGCGCTTGGTCGTGTTCAGAGCCTGATGGGATGAGTTTACGCGAATCCATCAGTGAATAGACTTGGAATCAAATGAATTTTGTGCGGCGCATATGTATTTGGTGCCTCTTTGTACCAATATTTATGTGTTCAAGTAAATAAATTATTTAATGACAAGCGCATATACCTCATGACAATCAGTGAGAGTTAAATGATTTAGCTGACAATGCTATTGTTTTACTCTATTAATCATCAGTAATAGAGTTGTACCCGATCTATCAAAACCTGAGTAGACAAATATTTTCATTAGTGTGTAAGAAATAGATCTATATTAATACGTTCAACTATAAGAGTAGTTGTAGGTTTCCAATATTGAAAGGCAAGGTGAAAAAATTTGATATCCTGTATTCTTCAGCGCTGTATATCGTGATTATCCGAAGTTTTAGGATTTATCGTTGAATGTAAAATAACTTTGAAAAACCAGAAGCAACATGTTGATAGTTTGGTCAGCTAGCTGCTTTAACTATCACACTTGTCGTGAATAGTTTAGTCTAGCTCTTGGTTTATAAACTGGATAAATAGTTGGGGATCACTATCTCGAACATCTCAGTATGTTTTGGTGATTCACCGTCGAATTCCATTGGTATTTTAGCTAAAGAATTAATTATTGTAAGAATAATTTTCGGAAACAAAACCAAAAATCATTATAAAGCTTTATTCAACGATTTGTGCAAATAAATTCTTATTTCATATTTTGCTGGGATGAAGTCATTTTGGTTATATTTCTCATTGCTTGGAACTACTGACGAAATCGCAAGCAAACATGGATAGTGGCTAGCAGTGGAATCCAGGACGCGCGTTTCGTCCCATTTGAGACTCGTCAACTGTGTGTACCTGCATGTGTTGATGTTCACTCTGACACTCGAACCCAGTACCCTCACTTCAAACGCGATCGCGTTATCCACTCGGCCAGTGAGTTCTTAAAGCCACTTGCTTGTGTAAAGGGGTGAAGTTTAAATTCATTTATTATTGTTTGTTTGAATCTTCTCATCGATGTGTTAGGACTGCAACTGGTCTTTCTCTTATTGGCATATGTGCATTCTGTGAGTATTGCCTCGATATAGCTTTAATTCACAAGCATTGTATGCAAAGATGGATTGTGGATAGGACAAAACGCGCGTCCTGGATTCTGCTGCTAGTCAGTATCCATATCTGCTTACAATCCTTGTGAATTAAGACTATATCGAGATAATACTCACATATGCCAATTAGTGACTGAACAGTTGAACAGCAATACTAAGTAAATACTGACGAAATTGTTATGACCATGCATTATCCTCTAAATTTCCTTTTAATACGAGTTAAAAGACACTGTGAACCTTTTTCGTCATTGTTTGATACTCAGTAGTGAACTCTGAAATTCCTACACGAGAACGAACTCACAACATTCAGTTCTTGAGCTTAGCTTGACGTCATTAAATCGTTGGGTCTGGTTGTTCACATTATTACCTTTTGTATATTCTCTAGATTAGCATGACGACATTAAATTGCCTTGATCTACGTTGTAAGCCAAGTCATTGATGGTATCAATCATCTATGCATATTACTAAATGACAGTTGAACATATCCACTAGTGGTTACTGGGTAGTTTGATGGTTTCCACGTTCTATGCTGATACCCATGTACCTTGTGTTCCCTATCATGTTGGTTACTTTGCATTCTTCATGTAGTGGATAGTTGTCTAGTTTCTCTAGTTAATGCTGGTCGGTATTAAAAATTAAGTTCTAAATGCGAGTATTTTTAATTTTATTTCTAAGCGAAAAACATATGGTGTCTTATATTGAGTTTTGCCTTCAAGTATGCTATTATACACTTCACTTAAGTGTAAAACTGTTTTTTGCTTATTGATCGTATCGAATCGAAATTTTCAGTTTTATTTATTTCACAAAAACACCTTCAAACCCTAATCTTTCAAATTAATGCTTATACTCTTACTACTTCTACCATTATGGGATTTGAATCAACAACTGCATCTGTGTGCTAATGTGGTATGGCAACTCGAACTGATTGTACATACGCACAAAGTTCTACGTTGTGACTGACTGAATTTCTGATGTTACCATGTTTTGCATTTCGATTATATGTAACTACTCTCTTCTTCCTTAGAATCGATGTTAGAAATGTCACTGATCATTTTGTAAATTTGAATTCATGTTTTTACGCTTGAAACGTTTGCACGAAAGTCATTCTTCATTGCGACAAAGGTGCTGTTTTCATATTGACCTGTATCTTCAGTGCTCAGAATTTTTCACCCTTTTCTGAGGGTCGCTGTAACTGTAATATTATGCTTGGTATTCTTAGGGGCCACACCTCGGGCATTTGACCTAAAGCTCGAAACCACAAGGCAATGGAGCAACGTCAAGAGATGAAGTCCCATAGTAATCGGTGACCATCAATTAGTTCATACGCCATTTGTTCCCTCAGGATACTGGAGCTCATGTGCACCATTGGTTTGTGTTATATCTTGCGGCAGAGTGGATGCCTAGTTGATGTGTGACGCGATAAGACCGCCAAACAGGGAGCAGCGAATTATCGATTGGAACGGTGACACACGAATCTGTACGAGAAGACTACAGTGCTAACCGGTCCTGCGATCTGCCTAGCCCAACCAGTTAAGTCCGAAACACCGATAACAGTCTCAGTGTTATGAATCATTGTATTTCAAACATACTGAGTTTATATAC